GACGACGACGTTGTCGCCATCGTCGTGCCAGATATGTTGTCATAGTTGTTCTTGGTTTTTGTCGCCACTGCAGGACGCGGCCCTGGAAGAATTGCCCAGGGTGGACGCCTTGAGAAGAGGTCGGAGGGGCACGTTCTGGGCGGATGTAGGTTGAGCGGTGGGCCGACGCACTAATTATACGCAAGTGGGGCGGAATGCACAATTCCCACGTCAGGTCATCCCTGCCTTTTGAAAACAGTTCGATGCTAGACCAATGAGCGTCTTACACGAGACATCCAGTACAGCTGTGACTGGGCGTGTATGTATGTATATCTATATATATATATATATAAATCTGTATGCCCATAATAAGCACAATGTACGACGATGTTTGCTCACCACCTGGCGCGCAAGTAAGCTCATCACTCGAGCACCAGATCACCCAACCTGCTAGACCTGCGCGCTCCAGCAACTTCGACGACATGCTCCAATCAGCGACGACCGCCCGTGGGGGCTGCAACGCTGCAAGCAGACCGCCGAGCCGTCGGAAACACCCGACGCTGCCGACCCCCTAAGCTCCAATCCAAAGAAAGCGCCCTAATAAAACGGACCCCCTACAAAAAAGGCGCCTAATCAAACCGGACACAGGGGACGATGAATAAAGGATTTAGAGTACGTGACAGCGGCCTGTGGGGCACGCAGCGGTTCGAAGTTGACGACGGTAGCACGGACACAGACGTTGGGAGGTCCGCGCGGATTTTTTAGATCGGCGCTGGACCTCCTTTCCCTGGCGCGCGAAGCGCGCCAGGGGCGGCGCCAGAGGCGCGGCCAGGGAGGTCCATTGCCAGTCCAAGGAATCCGCGCGGACCTCCGAAGGTTCATGCTTTTACAGTTGCACCCACACCTTGCGGATAAGAGTGAAGAGGCGGCGAGTTCGTCGCCAGCCTGCAAGGTTGCAAATTTGAAGAAGCCCTCCGCAAGCGCCTCTCTCTCCATAAACAGCATGTGAGGGTTCTACATATCTTTTCCAAGAAGCTCTTAGATGCCCTGCTGGATCTGGAATCGGGCTGGCGACGTACGTTGCCTACCGTTGCCTTTCGTTGTCTCTCGTGGCCTCCTGTCGCCTTCTGGTGCTTCCCGTTGCTTCCCGTGGCCTCCGATTGCCGTGTTGCCCCCAACCGTGGCCCCCTATCGTGACCCTGCATCGTGGCTCCCAGCGCCAGTGTCCAAAGCTGCTTGGGGCTTTCTGCCGCAAGGAGGCATCCCCTTGGATTTGATAAGTTTCGGGGTTGATTCGTATTGCCCTACTCTTTGCTTCAGGTCTCCGCACGCAGCTCTCTGACGGCTGTGGAGTGGATCGGCACCGATGGTTCACCTGCGCTGCCGTCGGTCCGGCATCACCATCGAGAAAACGTCGTTCACAGCACACGCAGCGAGCCCGCCGCAGGCCCCGAATGTTTTTGCCAAAGCTATGTGGATTGGTCGCGGGTGGGTCACTGGTGGGTCGCGGGTGAGCTGTGGGTGGGTCGCGGGCGGGTTGTGGCTTGGTGCTGGGTGGGTCACGTGTAGGGGCCGGCTCGCGGGTGGGCCGCGGGCGAGGATGACGACGATGACCACAACTAGCAACACAACAAGGACGATGATCCCACCGCGGAAGCCCACTTCAGGCACACACCCAGGGAGGGTGTAAGACCATTTGCCCCCCTCTGTTTGATGATTGTCCTCCCACTATTATCTGAGAGGCTGCAAACGACAATCGGTTTGAAAAGTCCACTCGCATTCGCCGATGGCGCAGCCCTTCTCCTCGAGCACGCACGGACGGAGGCTTTCAAGGACGCCCCCCACCCCCCTGCGAACTGCCTGTGTAGGACTTCGGGCCGCCTTTCGCGGCACCTGTAAGGTAGGCAGGCCGAGGATTGCAGAGAAGGGAGGGAGGGAGGAGGATGAGATGGAGGAGGGAGTGAGGAAGGGAGGAGGGATGAGGATGGTACCTCGATGTCCTCCGCCCTCATTCTTCATCTCTCCCAATCCGTCCTCCTCCTCCCTCCTCCTTATCCCTCCTCATCCCTCCTCCACGTCCTCATCCCTCTACCCCCTCCGTCATTCCTCCCACCGCTCCCTCTCCTCAATCCGTCAAAAATCGACCCCGGGACGTGCCCCCGGGTGCGTCCTGGCCATAATTTCGAGGCGGATTCGGCCGTGGTTAGTCCCGCAGGGCTTAACGACTTCTCACAAATTGACGTATGGGGATCGAGCCAGATAAATCCAGGTAAGTGCAGATAAATTCATGTCAATGCAGATAAATCTGGGTCAACCCAGATAAATCTGGGTAAATCCAGGTAAACCCAGAGACCTTCAGGGACAGTTGGAGCTAATTGCGGCCGCTCCGGCGCGAGTCAAAGGACGGCGGAAGTCGTTAAGCCTTTCACGAGCCAGAGACACCCCGAAGGCCAAGAGACACCGAAAGACACCAACGTGATTATATTTCGGTCCTCGAAAGGCAGACCTCGAAGTCCGACCC